TGTTATATTGGTCTAGGATATCGAAGGATTCTTCGAGATCCTTGAGGTGATCCTAGGCTTTTTTGACTTGATCACCATGTCATCGATGTAGACTTCCATCGTGTCCCCAGTTTCTCCTTGAACATCTTATTGACCAAACCTTTGGTATGTGCTCCTGCATTTTTAAGACCAAATGGCATGGCAGTATAACAATAGATACTTTGAGTTATGAATGTCGTGTCTTCTTGGTCAGAGGGTTCCATCTGGATCTGTGGAATACTGTCGATGCGTCCATGAACGTTAGTAATTCGTGGCCCACTGTCGCGTCTATCATGGAGTCGATGTGTGGTTAGGGAAAGGATCCTTGGGACAGGCCTTGTTGAGATCCATAGAGTCCACACATACTCTCCATTTACCATTCTCTTTTGTACCACGACCACATTACCTAGCCATCTTGGGAACCTCACTTCCCTGATCATGCTAGTTTGAGAAGTTTTTTTCACTTCCTGTATAACTTTGTTTCTTTTAGGTGCAAATTTCCTCCTCTTTTATTGTATTGGCCTGTGTTAGGAATAAATCCGAGATGACGAATGCGGAATATCAAGAACAATCAGAATCAATCACCATCATATGCAAGTAATCTGATAAAGGTTTTTCATATATTGATTATGAGATGAACGTACAGAGAAAAACCCTAATCTGGTAAAAAGCTATTACCAAAAGTAAACCTAATGATTATTTATAGGGAACAATAAATATATACCATAAATATAAAATAAATGCCTAATATAAAACCAATGCCTTAGAAGAGCTCGATTAAGAACTTCTACTGTAAAGGCACCGTAGGGAATCATAAAATGATTAACCCTAAAAAGGCTTCCCTAAATAACCAAATATGCCATATCAGTTTCAATATCTCAAATACTCAACAATCTCCCCCTAGATGTTGAAATTGATGAAGATCACGATTTCCGATCTTCTTGGCATTTCTCCCCCTAAATTGTGATACTCATCAGCACATGGGGTCTTCAAAAGCGAGAGAAATAGAAATAATCTTCCAAATACGAACTCCCCCTTGAATAATCATCACTCCCCCTTGAATCTTCAACAAATACCATTGAGAGAATCCGGAAAGTTAAGAAGAATCACCAACAATCTTCAAAACCCGTCAGATTTGATGAAATAAATCCCTTTAGAATAAACTCAATCTTCAAAAATTAAAACCGGAAAAATAACAAAAAATAATTTTGTATTTTTCGATTTTTAAATTTAGACAAAAGAATAGAATAAGAAGCAATTATTTAGAAGGGTTCAAAAAGAATAAGACCAAAGAAAAGATTAGAAACTAAAATATTTTGGAAAGAAGGGATAAAAATGGTAAAAATCCGAGAAATTTGAAAAGAATTTCGGATATGGGGTAAAATCTGTGAAGTGCTGAAAGTCAGGGGGCAAAATTTGAAAAAATAACCCATATTGTTCTTTTTAACGCTGAAATTAAGAACATCTTCCAAAGGGGGTAGCAACTGTAAAGTTTGTAAACATTTGGGGACTGGAACCATCAAAGTGCTGAAGATGCAGGGACCAAGAATGAAACAATGTTATCTTCTTCCCCATTTAACGCCTGATAAAAGGAACACGACGACTGGAACGATTACGAACACGTTATTTGACTTCTAAAAGTCAAAATCAAATTTCCGTTTACAATCCTCCGATCCAGTTTCTCATGAACAACTCCGATTTTTGCATCTCCTATTCCAAAAAAAAACTTCGATCACTCTGAGAACGATACTTCAGATTTGTGATGTATTCCGATTTCAGTTTTGCTTGAAATCCGATTCCAGAGTTCCGATTTTGAATGTAGATGTTGATTTTGATTTCCGATTCCAGATTCTCGATTGCAGATGAAGAAGTAGTTAAGAACCAATTTACGAACACGTCGTCGACAGTTAATGCACAAATGTTCCAAACACCAATTGAGTTTGATGATTGCGAATCTTTATTTCATAAGAAACTAAAGTAGCTTCGTTTACGATCGAGCCAAGAACAACGAACGTCTGAACTTTGATTCAGATTCAATTAGTGCGACAGAACTTTGATTCCAATTTTGACTTTCGTTGCGAACCAATTTTGACTTTCGTTTTTGATTTGCAACTGTGAACAATCGAACACGAACCTGTAGATGTAGATGAGGAAGCGAACTTAATCCACTACGTTCGTTTCTAAATCTAGTCAATTGATGATGAACCGAAAGCGAATCGCAGCTTCGCTTCAATTTCATACCAAAGCGAAATCAACCGAGGCGTTCGCCTATAAACAGTAGATTCGGGTTCGGTTCTTGTGAGTTCGGTTCTTATTCATGAGGCTCGCTTCAAATACATATCCAAAGCGAAATAGACCGAACGTTCGGTCTATTTCGGTTCCAATTTTTGGAAGTGCGCTTCTTCACTTTCACTTCTCTACGTTCGCTTCATTACTTGAGTTTCGCTTGTGAGATTTCCTGACTTTCACTTTTGGAAGATAGGTTCGCTTCTTGATTTTTCCACTTCAAGGAATGAAACACTGGAACTATGATAGCGACCGATTCGAGGTGGTCAGCCTCGCAAGAATAATAGAAAGGAAGATAGGTAAGAGCCGATTATGGATGGCTATTCCCCAAGAACAAAGATAATGAAATAGACTAAAACATACTTTTTTCTACCTCTCCTCGTAATGCAAATACATCCATATATATATATATATAACTAAATAATCCTACTACTAGCTAATAATAAGGAAAACATGTAATCATGGGTAATGAAAACGTGTACTAGTAACTAAATGGAAATATGCATGCATGGTTGGAAGCTTCCAGGAGGTAAGGTTGGACTTTTTCAATTGCAAAGTAATGCCGACGTGTGAACCATATTATCAATCCAGTTGGGCCATGGAGGTGGCATCGGGTATAACCCTAGACACGTATCAATTCCTCCGCCCTTAAAATTGACCTCGTCCTCGAGGTCCAACAAATAAATGTTTAGAGTAAAGAGGGTGTTGAAACATTCGTCAAACTGACGGAAAAAGATCTTCAGATGTCGGATATGTCCATAGGTAGTTGTCGATGGCGGTTGTGGGAGCGGTTCCTTTGGCGATGGTGGCAATAACGGTTTTATCTTCAATTGGATTGGTGACGGTGGTGGTGTTGGCGGTGTTATCGGTTGGAGCGGGACCTTTGGCGATGGTGGCAATAACGGTTTTATTCTTCAATTGGATTGGTGATGGTGGTGGTGTTGGCGGTGTTATCGATGGAGATGTCGTGTTGCTAGTAGCAACGATTGTGATATGGATGTCACTGATGGTGAAGACGATGGTGGTGGCGGTTTGTGACATGATAGCCCCCATATTTGTGCTTACGATCAATGTCGTAGTAAGGATTGTAGTGGTTTCGGTTAGCTTGGCGATGATGGGCATCGAGGCGGTTGTTGTTGGCGATAGTTATGGCAACGAGTTGAGCCAATTGGTCGGATATGGAGGCAAAAGACTCTTCCCGATGGAGAGGCATTGTGAGTTCGGGAATGAAAGCACCAAATGATAGCGACCGATTCGAGATGGTCAGCCTCCCAAGAATAATAGAAAGGAAGATAGGTGAGAGCCGATTATGGATGGCTATTCCCCAAGAACAAAGATAATGAAATAGACTAAAACATACTTTTTTTCTACCTCTCCTCGTAATGCAAATACATCCATATATATATAACTAAATAATCCTACTACTAGCTAATAATAAGGAAAACATGTAATCATGGGTAATGAAAACGTGTACTAGTAACTAAATGGAAATATGCATGCATGGTTGGAAGCTTCCAGGAGGTAAGGTTGGACTTTTTCAATTGCAAAGTAATGCCGACGTGTGAACCATATTATCAATCCAGTTGGGCCATGGAGGTGGCCTCGGGTATAACCCTAGACACGTATCAATTCCTCCGCCCTTAAAATTGACCTCGTCCTCGAGGTCCAACAAATAAATGTTTAGAGTAAAGAGGGTGTTGAAACATTCGTCAAACTGACGGAAAAAGATCTTCAGATGTCGGATATGTCCATAGGTAGTTGTCGATGGCAGTTGTGGGAGCGGTTCCTTTGGCGATGGTGGCAATAACGGTTTTATCTTCAATTGGATTGGTGACGGTGGTGGTGTTGGCGGTGTTATCGGTTGGAGCGGGACCTTTGGCGATGGTGGCAATAACGGTTTTTATCTTCAATTGGATTGGTGATGGTGGTGGTGTTGGCGGTGTTATCGATGGAGATGTCGGTGTTGCTAGTAGCAACGATTGTGATATGGATGTCACTGATGGTGAAGACGATGGTGGTGGCGGTTGTGACATGATAGCCCCCATATTTGTGCTTACGATCAATGTCGTAGTAAGGATTGTAGTGGTTTCGGTTAGCTTGGCGATGATGGCATCGAGGCGGTTGTTGTTGGCGATAGTTATGGCAACGAGTTGAGCCAATTGGTCGGATATGGAGGCAAAAGACTCTTCCCGATGGAGAGGCATTGTGAGTTCGGGAATGAAAGCACCAAATGATAGCGACCGATTCGAGATGGTCAGCCTCCCAAGAATAATAGAAAGGAAGATAGGTGAGAGCCGATTATGGATGGCTATTCCCCAAGAACAAGATAATGAAATAGACTAAAACATACTTTTTTCTACCTCTCCTCGTAATGCAAATACATCCATATATATAACTAAATAATCCTACTACTAGCTAATAATAAGGAAAACATGTAATCATGGGTAATGAAAACGTGTACTAGTAACTAAATGGAAATATGCATGCATGGTTGGAAGCTTCCAGGAGGTAAGGTTGGACTTTTTCAATTGCAAAGTAATGCCGACGTGTGAACCATATTATCAATCCAGTTGGGCCATGGAGGTGGCATCGGGTATAACCCTAGACACGTATCAATTCCTCCGCCCTTAAAATTGACCTCGTCCTCGAGGTCCAACAAATAAATGTTTAGAGTAAAGAGGGTGTTGAAACATTCGTCAAACTGACGGAAAAAGATCTTCAGATGTCGGATATGTCCATAGGTAGTTGTCGATGGCGGTTGTGGGAGCGGTTCCTTTGGCGATGGTGGCAATAACGGTTTTATCTTCAATTGGATTGGTGACGGTGGTGGTGTTGGCGGTGTTTATCGGTTGGAGCGGGACCTTGGCAATGGTGGCAATAACGGTTTTATCTTCAATTGGATTGGTGATGGTGGTGGTGTTGGCGGTGTTATCGATGGAGATGTCGGTGTTGCTAGTAGCAACGATTGTGATATGGATGTCACTGATGGTGGAGACGATGGTGGTGGCGGTTGTGACATGATAGCCCCCATTTTTGTGCTTACGATCAATGTCGTAGTAAGGATTGTAGTGGTTTCGGTTAGCTTGGCGATGATGGCATCGAGGCGGTTGTTGTTGGCGATAGTTATGGCAACGAGTTGAGCCAATTGGTCGGATATGGAGGCAAAAGACTCTTCCCGATGGAGAGGCATTGTGAGTTCGGGAATGAAAGCACCAAATGATAGCGACCGATTCGAGGTGGTCAGCCTCCCAAGAATAATAGAAAGGACGATAGGTGAGAGCCGATTATGGATGGCTATTCCCCATGAACAAAGATAATGAAGTAGACTAAAACATACTTTTTTCTACCTCTCCTCGTAATGCAAATACATCCATATATATATAACTAAATAATCCTACTACTAGCTAATAATAAGGAAAACATGTAATCATGGGTAATGAAAACGTGTACTAGTAACTAAATGGAAATATGCATGCATGGTTGGAAGCTTCCAGGAGGTAAGGTTGGACTTTTTCAATTGCAAAGTAATGCCGACGTGTGAACCATATTATCAATCTAGTTGGGCCATGGAGGTGGCCTCGGGTATAACCCTAGACACGTATCAATTCCTCCGCCCTTAAAATTGACCTCGTCCTCGAGGTCCAACAAATAAATGTTTAGAGTAAAGAGGGTGTTGAAACATTCGTCAAACTGACGGAAAAAGATCTTCAGATGTCGGATATGTCCATAGGTAGTTGTCGATGGCGGTTGTGGGAGCGGTTCCTTTGGCGATGGTGGCAATAACGGTTTTATCTTCAATTGGATTGGTGACGGTGGTGGTGTTGGCGGTGTTATCGGTTGGAGCGGGACCTTTGGCGATGGTGGCAATAACGGTTTTATCTTCAATTGGATTGGTGATGGTGGTGGTGTTGGCGGTGTTATCGATGGAGATGTCGGTGTTGCTAGTAGCAACGATTGTGATATGGATGTCACTGATGGTGGAGGCGATGGTGGTGGCGGTTGTGACATGATAGCCCCCATATTTGTGCTTACGATCAATGTCGTAGTAAGGATTGTAGTGGTTTCGGTTAGCTTGGCGATGATGGCATCGAGGCGGTTGTTGTTGGCGATAGTTATGGCAACGAGTTGAGCCAATTGGTCGGATATGGAGGCAAAAGACTCTTCCCGATGGAGAGGCATTGTGAGTTCGGGAATGAAAGCACCAAATGATAGCGACCGATTCGAGGTGGTCAGCCTCCCAAGAATAATAGAAAGGAAGATAGGTGAGAGCCGATTATGGATGGCTATTCCCCAAGAACAAAGATAATGAAATAGACTAAAACATACTTTTTTCTACCTCTCCTCGTAATGCAAATACATCCATATATATATAACTAAATAATCCTACTACTAGCTAATAATAAGGAAAACATGTAATCATGGGTAATGAAAACGTGTACTAGTAACTAAATGGAAATATGCATGCATGGTTGGAAGCTTCCAGGAGGTAAGGTTGGGCTTTTTCAATTGCAAAGTAATGCCGACGTGTGAACCATATTATCAATCCAGTTGGGCCATGGAGGTGGCCTCGGGTATAACCCTAGACACGTATCAATTCCTCCGCCCTTAAAATTGACCTCGTCCTCGAGGTCCAACAAATAAATGTTTAGAGTAAAGAGGGTGTTGAAACATTCGTCAAACTGACGGAAAAAGATCTTCAGATGTCGGATATGTCCATAGGTAGTTGTCGATGGCGGTTGTGGGAGCGGTTCCTTTGGTGATGGTCTCAATAACGGTTTTATCTTTAATTGGATTGGTGACGGTGGTGGTGTTGGCGGTGTTATCGGTTGGAGCGGGACCTTTGGCGATGGTGGCAATAACGGTTTTATCTTCAATTGGATTGGTGATGGTGGTGGTGTTGGCGGTGTTATCGATGGAGATGTCGGTGTTGCTAGTAGCAACGATTGTGATATGGATGTCACTGATGGTGGAGACGATGGTGGTGGCGGTTGTGACATGATAGCCCCCATATTTGTGCTTACGATCAATGTCGTAGTAAGGATTGTAGTGGTTTCGGTTAGCTTGGCGATGATGGCATCGAGGCGGTTGTTGTTGGCGATAGTTATGGCAACGAGTTGAGCCAATTGGTCGGATATGGAGGCAAAAGACTCTTCCCGATGGAGAGGCATTGTGAGTTCGGGAATGAAAGCACCAAATGATAGCGACCGATTCGAGGTGGTCAGCCTCCCAAGAATAATAGAAAGGAAGATAGGTGAGAGCCGATTATGGATGGCTATTCCCCAAGAACAAAGATAATGAAATAGACTAAAACATACTTTTTTTCTACCTCTCCTCGTAATGCAAATACATCCATATATATATATAACTAAATAATCCTACTACTAGCTAATAATAAGGAAAACATGTAATCATGGGTAATGAAAACGTGTACTAGTAACTAAATGGAAATATGCATGCATGGTTGGAAGCTTCCAGGAGGTAAGGTTGGACTTTTTCAATTGCAAAGTAATGCCGACGTGTGAACCATATTATCAATCCAGTTGGGCCATGGAGGTGGCCTCGGGTATAACCCTAGACACGTATCAATTCCTCCGCCCTTAAAATTGACCTCGTCCTCGAGGTCCAACAAATAAATGTTTAGAGTAAAGAGGGTGTTGAAACATTCGTCAAACTGACGGAAAAAGATCTTCAGATGTCGGATATGTCCATAGGTAGTTGTCGATGGCGGTTGTGGGAGCGGTTCCTTTGGCGATGGTGGCAATAACGGTTTTATCTTCAATTGGATTGGTGACGGTGGTGGTGTTGGCGGTGTTATCGGTTGGAGCGGGACCTTTGGCGATGGTGGCAATAACGGTTTTATCTTCAATTGGATTGGTGATGGTGGTGGTGTTGGCGGTGTTATCGATGGAGATGTCGGTGTTGCTAGTAGCAACGATTGTGATATGGATGTCACTGATGGTGGAGACGATGGTGGTGGCGGTTGTGACATGATAGCCCCCATATTTGTGCTTACGATCAATGTCGTAGTAAGGATTGTAGTGGTTTCGGTTAACTTGGCGATGATGGCATCGAGGCGGTTGTTGTTGGCGATAGTTATGGCAACGAGTTGAGCCAATTGGTCGGATATGGAGGCAAAAGACTCTTCCCGATGGAGAGGCATTGTGAGTTCGGGAATGAAAGCACCAAATGATAGCGACCGATTCGAGGTGGTCAGCCTCCCAAGAATAATAGAAAGGAAGATAGGTGAGAGCCGATTATGGATGGCTATTCCTCAAGAACAAAGATAATGAAATAGACTAAAACATACTTTTTTCTACCTCTCCTCGTAATGCAAATACATCCATATATATATAACTAAATAATCCTACTACTAGCTAATAATAAGGAAAACATGTAATCATGGGTAATGAAAACGTGTACTAGTAACTAAATGGAAATATGCATGCATGGTTGGAAGCTTCCAGGAGGTAAGGTTGGAATTTTTCAATTGCAAAGTAATGCCGACGTGTGAACCATATTATCAATCCAGTTGGGCCATGGAGGTGGCCTCGGGTATAACCCTAGACACGTATCAATTCCTCCGCCCTTAAAATTGACCTCGTCCTCGAGGTCCAACAAATAAATGTTTAGAGTAAAGAGGGTGTTGAAACATTCGTCAAACTGACGGAAAAATATCTTCAGATGTCGGATATGTCCATAGGTAGTTGTCGATGGCGGTTGTGGGAGCGGTTCCTTTGGCGATGGTGGCAATAACGGTTTTATCTTCAATTGGATTGGTGACGGTGGTGTTGGCGGTGTTATCGGTTGGAGCGGGACCTTTGGCGATGGTGGCAATAACGGTTTTATCTTCAATTGGATTGGTGATGGTGGTGGTGTTGGCGGTGTTATCGATGGAGATGTCGGTGTTGCTAGTAGCAACGATTGTGATATGGATGTCACTGATGGTGGAGACGATGGTGGTGGCGGTTGTGACATGATAGCCCCCATATTTGTGCTTACGATCAATGTCGTAGTAAGGATTGTAGTGGTTTCGGTTAGCTTGGCGATGATGGCATCGAGGCGGTTGTTGTTGGCGATAGTTATGGCAACGAGTTGAGCCAATTGGTCGGATATGGAGGCAAAAGACTCTTCCCGATGGAGAGGCATTGTGAGTTCGGGAATGAAAGCACCAAATGATAGCGACCGATTCGAGGTGGTCAGCCTCCCAAGAATAATAGAAAGGAAGATAGGTGAGAGCCGATTATGGATGGCTATTCCCCAAGAACAAAGATAATGAAATAGACTAAAACATACTTTTTTCTACCTCTCCTCGTAATGCAAATACATCCATATATATATATAACTAAATAATCCTACTACTAGCTAATAATAAGGAAAACATGTAATCATGGGTAATGAAAACGTGTACTAGTAACTAAATGGAAATATGCATGCATGGTTGGAAGCTTCCAGGAGGTAAGGTTGGACTTTTTCAATTGCAAAGTAATGCCGACGTGTGAACCATATTATCAATCCAGTTGGGCCATGGAGGTGGCCTCGGGTATAACCCTAGACACGTATCAATTCCTCCGCCCTTAAAATTGACCTCGTCCTCGAGGACCAACAAATAAATGTTTAGAGTAAAGAGGGTGTTGAAACATTTGTCAAACTGACGGAAAAAGATCTTCAGATGTCGGATATGTCCATAGGTAGTTGTCGATGGCGGTTATGGGAGCGGTTCCTTTGGCGATGGTGGCAATAACGGTTTTATCTTCAATTGGATTGGTGACGTTGTGGTGTCGGCGGTGTTATCGGTTGGAGCGGGACCTTTGGCGATGGTGGCAATAACGGTTTTATCTTCAATTGGATTGGTGATGGTGGTGGTGTTGGCGGTGTTATCGATGGAGATGTCGGTGTTGCTAGTAGCAACGATTGTGATATGGATGTCACTGATGGTGGAGACGATGGTGGTGGCGGTTGTGACATGATAGCCCCCATATTTGTGCTTACGATCAATGTCGTAGTAAGGATTGTAGTGGTTTCGGTTAGCTTGGCGATGATGGCATCGAGGCGGTTGTTGTTGGCGATAGTTATGGCAACGAGTTGAGCCAATTGGTCGGATATGGAGGCAAAAGACTCTTCCCGATGGAGAGGCATTGTGAGTTCGGGAATGAAAGCACCAAATGATAGCGACCGATTCGAGGTGGTCAGCCTCCCAAGAATAATAGAAAGGAAGATAGGTGAGAGCCGATTATGGATGGCTATTCCCCAAGAACAAAGATAATGAAATAGACTAAAACATACTTTTTTCTACCTCTCCTCGTAATGCAAATACATCCATATATATATATATAACTAAATAATCCTACTACTAGCTAATAATAAGGAAAACATGTAATCATGGGTAATGAAAACGTGTACTAGTAACTAAATGGAAATATGCATGCATGGTTGGAAGCTTCCAGGAGGTAAGGTTGGACTTTTTCAATTGCAAAGTAATGCCGACGTGTGAACCATATTATCAATCCAGTTGGGCCATGGAGGTGGCCTCGGGTATAACCCTAGACACGTATCAATTCCTCCGCCCTTAAAATTGACCTCGTCCTCGAGGTCCAACAAATAAATGTTTAGAGTAAAGAGGGTGTTGAAACATTCGTCAAACTGACGGAAAAAGATCTTCAGATGTCGGATATGTCCATAGGTAGTTGTCGATGGCGGTTGTGGGAGCGGTTCCTTTGGCGATGGTGGCAATAACGGTTTTATCTTCAATTGGATTGGTGACGGTGGTGGTGTTGGCGGTGTTATCGGTTGGAGCGGGACCTTTGGCGATGGTGGCAATAACGGTTTTATCTTCAATTGGATTGGTGATGGTGGTGGTGTTGGCGGTGTTATCGATGGAGATGTCGGTGTTGCTAGTAGCAACGATTGTGATATGGATGTCACTGATGGTGGAGACGATGGTGGTGGCGGTTGTGACATGATAGCCCCCATATTTGTGCTTACGATCAATGTCGTAGTAAGGATTGTAGTGGTTTCGGTTAGCTTGGCGATGATGGCATCGAGGCGGTTGTTGTTGGCGATAGTTATGGCAACGAGTTGAGCCAATTGGTCGGATATGGAGGCAAAAGACTCTTCCCGATGGAGAGGCATTGTGAGTTCGGGAATGAAAGCACCAAATGATAGCGACCGATTCGAGGTGGTCAGCCTCCCAAGAATAATAGAAAGGAAGATAGGTGAGAGCCGATTATGGATGGCTATTCCCCAAGAACAAAGATAATGAAATAGACTAAAACATACTTTTTTCTACCTCTCCTCGTAATGCAAATACATCCATATATATATATATAACTAAATAATCCTACTACTAGCTAATAATAAGGAAAACATGTAATCATGGGTAATGAAAACGTGTACTAGTAACTAAATGGAAATATGCATGCATGGTTGGAAGCTTCCAGGAGGTAAGGTTGGACTTTTTCAATTGCAAAGTAATGCCGACGTGTGAACCATATTATCAATCCAGTTGGGCCATGGAGGTGGCCTCGGGTATAACCCTAGACACGTATCAATTCCTCCGCCCTTAAAATTGACCTCGTCCTCGAGGTCCAACAAATAAATGTTTAGAGTAAAGAGGGTGTTGAAACATTCGTCAAACTGACGGAAAAAGATCTTCAGATGTCGGATATGTCCATAGGTAGTTGTCGATGGCGGTTGTGGGAGCGGTTCCTTTGGCGATGGTGGCAATAACGGTTTTATCTTCAATTGGATTGGTGACGGTGGTGGTGTTGGCGGTGTTATCGGTTGGAGCGGGACCTTTGGCGATGGTGGCAATAACGGTTTTATCTTCAATTGGATTGGTGATGGTGGTGGTGTTGGCGGTGTTATCGATGGAGATGTCGGTGTTGCTAGTAGCAACGATTGTGATATGGATGTCACTGATGGTGGAGACGATGGTGGTGGCGGTTGTGACATGATAGCCCCCATATTTGTGCTTACGATCAATGTCGTAGTAAGGATTGTAGTGGTTTCGGTTAACTTGGCGATGATGGCATCGAGGCGGTTGTTGTTGGCGATAGTTATGGCAACGAGTTGAGCCAATTGGTCGGATATGGAGGCAAAAGACTCTTCCCGATGGAGAGGCATTGTGAGTTCGGGAATGAAAGCACCAAATGATAGCGACCGATTCGAGGTGGTCAGCCTCCCAAGAATAATAGAAAGGAAGATAGGTGAGAGCCGATTATGGATGGCTATTCCTCAAGAACAAAGATAATGAAATAGACTAAAACATACTTTTTTCTACCTCTCCTCGTAATGCAAATACATCCATATATATATATATATATATATATATATATATATATATATATATATATATATATAACTAAATAATCCTACTACTAGCTAATAATAAGGAAAACATGTAATCATGGGTAATGAAAACGTGTACTAGTAACTAAATGGAAATATGCATGCATGGTTGGAAGCTTCCAGGAGGTAAGGTTGGACTTTTTCAATTGCAAAGTAATGCCGACGTGTGAACCATATTATCAATCCAGTTAGGCCATGGAGGTGGCCTCGGGTATAACCCTAGACACGTATCAAACTAGCAATCAAGCGAAACTAACTTTCGCTTTTTGTGACAATCGCGTTTTTGAGTTTGCTTCTGTGCTTCAGTGAACGAATACAGGAACGAGACATATCTATTTTTACTAATAACTTCGAAAGTAGCCCCTTCTTTTACAGTACACTGACAATTTCATCTTGCTTTATGCGGTAATGTCAGATTGCAACCTTCTTTTTGCAGAAAAGTCACTTTTTCACCCCTTTTTCAACTTTTGTCATTTCCAACAATTTAAAAGATCAAGAAATTTAATTTCTTCAACGAGATTTCACATTTTTGACTAAATTTTCATCAGCTTTTGTCCTCATTTTCGTTTTTTTTTCCGAATAAAGGGCAAAACTTTTATGGGACTTTTGGTACCCATTTAAGATTCAACATTGAAGTTCGTTTCTTGCAAACCCATTTATTTGAAGAATATCTATCATCTTCTGAAAATAATACCCGCTTCTCAGTTGGAAAACAAAATTTTCCAAAAAATTCATTGAACCAACCAAATACTCTTTTCTCTTTTCTCCAACTTTTAACATATTCATCTGAAGAAAAATGTGAATGGAACTTTCTTTGAACATTCTTGACTTCAGCTTTCTGAACTTTTCCACAAGCATTGGGTACTTGTACTTTGGGCATCCAAACCTTCTTCATTTTACTCTTGTTCTTTCTCTTATTCCTCCTTTTCTTATTTCTAGGCTTCAGAAACAAATTTCGGATCTGAACATCTTTTTCTTCTTTCTGAATCTGAACATTTGAAGACTTTGACACACAAACTTTTGGAGTTTGGTAAATCTGAATTTCTTAAAGAATTGGCTTTCTGTAAGGAATCATTCCTTCAAAGATATCATCAGAACATAAAGAACCATCTATTTGAGTTCCAATAGAACAAAATGTCTTCACTTTCACGATTTTAGATGAATTTCTTTGAGATTCATCTTCTGAAGTACCTGATTCGGAATGTAACTCTTCTGAAAAACATGAACCACTTGACTCCCCCTCAACAAGAACATCTGGAGTCACTTTTTCTTCAGAAACTTGAAGAACAACATGAACTTCTTCTTTTTCTTTTTCAGCCCTTTTTATCTTCAACATCTGTTTATGTTCCCGATTTAAATGTTCATATATAATATGAAATTGTTCTACTATTCTCTCATCCTCTCTTAACTCATGGTGATTAACATATGAGTATCTAGATATTTTCTTATCAACAAGAAGATTATACAACTCAGGAATATCATTCAACATAGATCGACCACTAATTTGAAACAGGGTCACTTTGTTAACACCATAGATTGGTTTAGAAACCTTTAATCCAAGTTCTAAAATGGAGTCAAACAATAAATTCGTTTTATCCATTAGATCTTCAACAAATGATAGAACTTGAAGAGAGAGAAAGTAGATCTGATAAGAGTTCTAGAGAGAGAAAACGGATCCGAGAGGGTTTCTAGAGAGAGAAAACAGATCTGAAACAATTTTTAGAGAGATAAAGTAGATCTGAACACGAAAATTCAAATAAACACGAAATTTTCTTCTAATTCTCTTCTAGAACACGATTCAAGAACAAATCAGATGAATTAATGAGTTGAAGAAAACAGATCTGAACAAGATTTTTCAATAAAAACGAGGTATATGCTTTTTCTTTTCAGAAAACTTACAAAACTTGAAGAACAATGTGAGATTCATGATAAAATATCGTCATTAACAAGATCGATTCTTGCAAAAATCGCTGAGATCTACGAGAACCCGCTCTGATACCACTTGTTAGGAATAAATCCGAGAAGACGAATGCGGAATATCAAGAACAATCAGAATCAATCACCATCATATGCAAGTAATCTGATAAAGGTTTTTCATATATTGATTATGAGATGAACGTACAGAGAAAAACCCTAATCTGGTAAATAGCTATTACCAAAAGTAAACCTAATGATTATTTATAGGGAACAATAAATATCTATGATAAATATAAAATAAATGCCTAATATAAAACCAATGCCTTAGAAGAGCTCGATTAAGAACTTCTACTGTAAAGGCACCGTAGGGAATCATAAAATGATTAACCCTAAAAAGGCTTCCCTAAATAACCAAATATGTCATATCAGTTTCAATATCTCAAATACTCAACAGCCTGAAAGATGGGTCAATGTTAAGTTTATGGGTTATTATGCTTTTGTCAATACCTGTCATGTCCTCATGCTTCCATGCAAACGTCTTGCTTTTGGCCTTGAGGAATCTTATGAGATCATGTTCGAGTTGTCCGGGTATTGAGGATCCTATGAGAACTTTAGCTTCAGGATCCTCAAGGTTTAGGGGCACTTCTTTTATGTCATGCTCTCTTGCTTCCAACACGCCTCGTGTCCCATGCCTTAATTTCTATGCTTGTCGTGGTAATGTTGAGGACTTCATCGAAGTCTTGTAGCATTCTTTGGATTCTTGTTGGTCTCCTATGATCTTCATTGTCCCCCATGGGGTGGGCATCTTTACGCATTGATGATACGTCAATGGAACGGATTTCATTTCATGGACCCAAGGTCTACCTAGTATGACATTATAAGAGGATAATGTGTCAATCACACAAAAACATTGTAAAGAATTTACCCCCTCTATGTAGATTGGCAGTTGTATCTTGTCGATAGTATGCTTAGTTTCTCCGTTGAAGCCGATTAGTACTGAGGATCTTGCATAAACCATGAAATCACAAACAATTGTTTTCAATCCATATTCATTACAACTTTATTTTAAAACATCAGAGTGTCCCATAACATATCAGTGAGAGAGAGTGTGTACGTCGCGCCATCACGCCTTACCTTTGCCCTTGGGATCTGAAGTACCTGAAACAAATCCACAACCTGTAAGCTAAATGCTTAGTGAGTTCCCCAGAGCATACCACACACAATCCACATAACACATAACATCTTAGGTATAAAATCTACCTACATCACATAATTCACGCATACATAAACCTGTAAGGATGTCGTGGGCTCCCCCTAGGGTCTTACATCATCGTGCCATGGGCTACCCCACATGGTCTTTACCTGGGAATGCCACGGGATACCCCACATGGTCTTACATCCAATTGCCACGGGCTACCCCCGGGGTCTTCCATGCAATAACACACATAATCACATAAGATGGGCCGGGCTTGGTGCCTTAGACCCATTGGTATGGTGAGAAGACTCACCTCTGTCTGCTGAATGCGAAAGCTGCTCTCCTAACAGACTGTAACCTCCCGTGCTGAATAATAATGTTAATAAATGCTAGTACTTTACTTAATCAAAGGGAAACCCAAACCCCAAGTCCTTCCATAAGGCCCAATTACCCATTCTTTGTTAATGGGCCTAAAGTCCATGTCCAAAATCATTAATGGGCCTCTTGGCCCAAAAGGCCCAATCAATATATCCATGGCCCATAACAGATAAAATGGCTCATAATTCCCAGAATGCAACCAAGTTCAATAACTAAATGGGGCCCAATAATTCAAAGGCCCAAAACAGATTGAGCCCATCTGTGATGCGTACGCTTAGCGTACCATCCTGGTATGCGCAGCGTACTGGCATCTTGGGACTTACGTGCAGCGTACACTGGGGTACGCCCAACGTACTACCAGATTAAGCACTTTCTCCATTGAGTGCTTAATGCCCGATTCCTTTACGTACAAAACTCATATCTAAGCTTGTTAAGATGTCCTAAGGCATAAAGTTGGCAACTTTATGCCTTTGCATGCCCCATATGCACCCAACACCCCCATTAAGACCTTTTCAAGGTTCTTAATCCATGCATGAGGTCAAAACTCCCACCAAGACTCCATTTTTATGTTACTAAAGGACCAAGGGACCTCAGATCTGTCATTTCCATCTTCTGGAGTTGCTTAACTCAAATGGAGGTCCAAAAACAACCAAAGGGGCAAAACTAGAAAACCCTAAGCTAGATCTAATGATTTAAGTGGAAAGATCCAAGCTTTTTACCTCCAGGAACTCGTCAAGGTCGTCTATGTGCAGATTCTTGAAGCTAAAAGACACTCCAAGCTTCTTTGACCACTTCTTCTTCTTTGGATGAACACTAAAAGGATGACAAAATCTCTCTCAAGGCTCAAAATGCACTCACAAAGGATATTAGGGCTTCCAGGAATGTTTGAAGGTGAAAGGAGCTGATGAGGGTGAGGCTCAAGTGAGTTAAGGGCATTTAAATAGGTCACAAGTCCACAAATTAGGGTTTGAACCCTCGGCACGTACGCCCAGTGTACTTCTGGTACGCCCAGCGTACGTGCAGCTCCTCTACGATCAGCCATGCAGAGTACGCTAAGCGTACTCATAAGTACGCCCAGCGTACTCAAGGGACCAATTATGTCAAAATAGAAATTCTTCGACGGTTTCAAGTTATACCTGATTTAGGGCGTTACAACTCTCCCTCACTTGAACTAGACTTCATCCTCGAAGTCTGCAGTTGTAAACATATCGGGGTAATACTCCTGCATCTCCTCCTCTGGCTCCCAAGTCCATTCGGAGCCCTTTCGGTGCTGCCATTGCACCTT